ACCTCATGATTTATAGATACGTGGTCACCAACACTCGAAGTGATAAATACTGCATTTGCAACCTAAACTGAGCGTTTTTGATTTTTCGGAAATTCTCAGGGCCAAATAAGGCCTAACGTGGCTCTTGCTCTTTGTTAGACGAATAGCTAGAGCTGTCAACGTCATAGTTCCGTTCAGTTACACGACCACACTGTACATTTGTCAAATATGATGTAAAATGTGTTGTTTTCAGTACCCTAGGTGATACTTTTGTTTGCTCTTACTTCAATGACCATAATAAATACTTTCAAGGAATAAAACAAAATAACGATAATACTTCCTTTGTGCATTGAAACAGAAAACATTGTAGATTGAAAATTTCATTTTTTAAAATTGTTTATTCACAATTGATATTTATTACAGCTATTAAATTATACTAAAGGAAGGGTTATTGTCTTGTTTTAGACTAAATGTATAAATATTTTTAAGTATCTTTTTGCTTAATTGACACAGGGAATCGACACAGGAAAAGATTTTTTTTTTTTTATGAATTTTCTAACGAAAATTTTCTTCATGGGAACATAAAAATATGTCTGCTAATGATGGCATACCGATTAGTGCCCTTTCAGAATCCACCATATTTCCAAAGCCTTGACTATATAGGATATATCAATGAGGAATTATAACATTTTTTAACGTCAGCCTCAGGGACATTGTACCCAGAAGTAATTTTGTAGCGGGCCTATTGCAAAATATGAAAATTTATGAGTTCCATTTTTATTGAGGAAGCAGATGTTTATGATGCCGTTATGTCAATTTTATGGGTAGAAGACATATCGCTCAGGCGCAGTCCTAAATTATATAATAATATTTAAAAGTTTTGAATATCATTTCAGTCTTTGAGGCTTTTAAGTGGTAAGAACACTAATGCTTTTTTTTTTTCAATCGGTGAACTAGTGCAATTCAATTCGTGAATTAGTGAATTTATTTAGTGAGCTCATTACTCATAGTATCTCTAGTTTTTTTAATAATAATTTTTTTAAAGCTATGGATATGTTAAATGCAATTAGCTCTCAAGAAAAAGTGCCCCTTCGACATTGTTGTCCCCCGCTTGAAAAGTGGGGGATATTAATTCGGGTTTGTCCGTCCGTCCGTCTTTCTGTCTGTCTGTAACACTTTCGTTTCCACACGATATCTCGAGAACCCTTGGAGCTTTTGAAATGAAATTTAGCATAGCATCTTCCTATGGACTAAAGAAGACCCCTATTGATTTTGAGGTCAAAAGGTCAAAGGTCAAGGTCATAAATAAGCAAATTCTGTCTGTTATAACACTTTCGTTTCCACACGATATCTCTAGAACCATTTGAGATATTGCAATGAAATTTTACATAACAACTCCCTGTGGCCTAGGGAAGACCCCTATTGATTTTGAGGTCAAAAAGTCAAAGTTCAAGGTCGTAAATTTATACATTCTGTCTGTGTGTAACACTATCATTTCCGGGCGATATTTCAAGAAGATTTTGAGCTTATGCAATGTATTTTAAACCAAAACTCCCTAGGACCTCTCTCACCCCTGTCAAAGTGCCCCGCCCCGTTTGTTTTATTAGTATTTATAGCATTACATGTCGCTATTTTTAGCACAGGGGCATGAGGAGAGTTATTGCGTTTAAAACTTGTTCTGGCGGAATTTATATTCTTATCACATCTATTAGAACTGTTTAGACGTTACGCGCGATGTTGGTGACGTTTGACGTTACGCTTTAATAGCGCTACAGAAAAATTGACGTAATGCTTCTAATAGTGTTACTTGCTTGACTGGTACCCTATCGCTTCCTCTTTGTACTTGAAATACGAGTTTAAAAAGTCATAGCTACTAACATTTAAACTTATGAACATATAAGGCGCTGGGATTTGTATACATATATGATAAATTTTGTTAATTACTCGAAGCACTCTTAAACGCTTTTTCATGTATTACGTTGAAGCAAAACGAATTTTACGCGTTAAAAACGTCCACTGGACAAATATGTTGAACCTCCTAAATGTTGCGTAAAAAATTAATTAATGGAGTAAATTTATAATTCTGACATTCAATCTGGCCGTTTAGAGTAGCACATTATGAACATTCAATTATTTCTGTAGTTGATGGGGAAAACAATAAAATTTAGCGATTCGGAAATAGGCATTGTCTTATTTTTGCATGTCATTTTAGACGCTGGACATTTCTGTTGAACTTATAGCCCAATTAATAGCTCCAAAGGATGCAGTTTGATATCAAAGTCAATGAAATATTTAAAATCTATATGAAAAGCACATTATTTTGATATAATTTGTTTCTATTTAAAGTTTCTTGTAAATGAGTAAATTTATTGTTTATATTGATATGCACGTTTTTAATTAAAAGCGTTACAGATACTTCATCTGTAAAAACTATCGCTCTCTATTTCTTGCCAACATCAAGGCCGTAACTACCATTGAGGCAAGTGAGGCAAATGCCTCACTAAATGTTTAGATTTTTTTTTTTTTTTTTTGAAAAGTGAAAAAGTTTTACAGTGAACTTATAAATTATGTGTGTCTTCGTACTAAATTAATGTTTTCAATTTTTTTTTTCAATATATGTAAATCGTTCATCTCACCCGGTGCCTCATTGTCATTTAGAACGAATGTAAAATATTAGAAAAATATGTTTTGTAAATTGTTTGATTGTTTAACATCCCTTCCAAGCTTTTTTCATTCATATGGAGACATCACTCCTTGTCGATAAAGGGCTCAAGTTTTAAATCTGCACTAGGCTTTCAGGGTCACTGAAGATGATGAAACAGTGAGATATTTTTTGTGCCATCACTTACTGGGACGTAGGACCTCGGTTTTTAATCTCATCCGAAGGACCGAACTATCCCGCAGTGGGATTCGAACTCGCGATGTAAGGATCAACTCCTTATTCTGCGACTTTAGAGCGTTCGCTCTAACCACTGTGCCATTCGGTCGACAATTCCAAACGTATTTCTAAGATTAAATCTTTTATGTACCCAAGTTTCAGGATCGCCCTCCCTCCCCCTGGAAACCCCCGTCACTGACCATCAGGTACTACAGTTGCTCCGTCTGGGACTAGTGCCCAGCACCCTTGTCTCACTAAAAATTTGAGCCTAGTTACGGCCTTGAACATTTAATGCAAAATCGTTAATACAGTCACCAACAAAACGGATAGCTCTAGTAATTCTAGATTCACTTTTGAACGCGCTACTCACAAAAAATGCATGACCCCTGCTAAAAAATGTAACGCGTTACACGCTTAAAATACCTATAATACTTAAAATTTATTTGCGCTTTAAAATTCTATTTTTTGCATAAAAACTATCTAAATGTTATTTTCTTACTAGAATCAAGTAGTTCTGTTTAAACCCTATCCATACATACCAAAATCATCTATATTGCGAGTATATTTTAAAAATCACCGATGAGTTTAATAGGTCATATTCTAAAATTGAAAAATGGCACTAACACCGCGCGTAACGTGTTTAGTAAAGGTCAAATAAGACACCATGTATTGTGTAAAATTTTGACAATATCAAACGTGAATATATACATGTTTGTGACTTCATGTTTGCATATAATTTTCACTAACGTACAGCAGTTCCGTGGTGAAGTGGTATGTCTCCCGCTTCACATGTGAGAGGTCCCGGGATCGATTCCAGGACGATCTATTTTCTTTTTTTTTTTCCGAAATACTTTTTTTTAACTAAATGATAGTATTCAGCATGTGAAATGAAAAATTTATGAGGTCTAGCTTGTACAAACTTAAAATCATCATTACAGTGTGATAAATATTCCAATTAAAAAGAATCTTCTACACATATTATAAAGAATAATCAATCAAACCTTTATATCCATATTGGCATATTTTATTTACTTCAGTTTACATTTAATAATTCTACAAATTCAGTCAAGGGGATCCGAACCTCTGACCCCCCCCCCCCCCGACCCCCGAACTGCGCATGGTTTAATTTTCATTAAGCGGGGGACACAAATTCTCTGAATTAGCTTGTTTTCATTGAATTTATATATTTTTCTACCATTCTGGCTCATATTTAGCATTAAAAAGCATCTTTCAAATAAACAAGTAAACACGTTGAATGATAGTCGTTACGATGGAGGTGATTACGTAACATATTTTCAAATGCTTCAATCTACATAACGATTGAAGCTCATTTTGACCTCTGTTATACGATATACTGACGTCAAGCGGAGTAATACGTTTTTGACGTAACTCATTGTGACGTAGTTAACTTATGTTATATGATATAAACTAAATTTTTTACCAATCAAAAGACGTGTTACAACTAAAATTCAACATATAGCGAGTGATCAACAAAAAAGAGTGCAAGAGAATCTCAAATGGACTTTAGGCCTCCCAGGATTTAGCTTCTTTTCCCAACTTTTGGGCCTTCGTCGTATCCATTCAGCACAACCAGGTCCTGAGAGAGAGATAAACAACTAGTATTGCGTAGATCAATGCATTCGCGAATGAACATTTACCAACTGATCAGGAACCAATCACCTTTTCTTTAAGACACACGTACATACTTTAATCTAAGCCCTCTTACTTTTAAACTGACTGCATTTCTTTGTTTAATATTTGCAAAATGATAACTTTAAACAACACTTTAGTAGAAAAGCTTTACAATTTAATAGAACATCAAGTTCTATAATGAAGACACATAGCAATGATATATGAAAATATTGTTGAAGTTAGTTATCTTATAAATTTCATACAGGATTCAATGTTCAGTGATTTACGGAATTACGATGGTTTCTGGCCATGACGATAATAATTTGAGTAACTTGTCTCTTTGATCTTTGATTAACAGTGTCAGCAGTTTTAGCAATTCAATACTTTCCTCCTTTTCTATTTTGAACATTTCCGTTTCCTGCTTTCTTTTCTCTATATCTAGTTTTCCTTCTTCTGCCTTCTTTCTTATCTCTCTGTCCAACTTGATTTTATCTTTAAGATAATTGGAGATAGCATTTTACATTCCCTATTTCACCACCCAGGCACCTGTGCAAGTCTTATCTGCAATCATGTACATCAACATGTAAAAAGTGGATTCTTTACAGCTAGAAATATTAAACTACAATGAAATAAAAAAGATAAACAATTATTAATTATCATAATTATCATTCTAATATTTAAGAAAATGAACACCGCATTTAGTGGAAGAATGATATTCCGGAATCAGCAGACTTCGTACACAGTGACGTACTTAATCATGCTCAAAATTTTACAACACTCACCTGAGTTAGTGACATTAACATAAACGGTCACCTGCACTGATTCCGGAGAAGCTGTGTGTGAGCATGCGTAAGTTCCAGAATCTTCCAGCACCGCTGAGGGTTTCCTCAGAGTTGTGAACATCTTTCCCGAGGTCACATTGTACCCAGAACCTAAGAGAAACAGTGATGTTGTTCATTCGTCCACAATACTATGTTTTCATTAATTTATTATTAATCACCCTTTTAAAGGCTATCATTATGTATGTTACTATGTGTATTATATTGCCTTTAGCAGGATTAAAATAAATTGAGGGGGTTCATAAAGCTACTTAAATATTGGTATCGATGCTTAATTTTCAACTGTAATAATGGATTTACATAACAAAGACTTTTGGTGCTTCCTATGTTTATATTTTTAAAAAAAAACAAGAGAGCATTCCTTTTAATATTAAATATGGAAACAACAAACAGTAATCAAGTCCATTGAAAGGTTTTTTTTTATTTTGAGTGAGAGTCAGGAACAATGTGAACATTCTGAAAGAAGCCTTAATAAGGCTTTCAATAAGGATTCAGAGAAGAACAAATCGAAATGTTGTTACATGTAACTCATTACATGTAATCAAAATTAAATGCAACATAAGTAAACATTTTCCTTTTACATAAAAATTTTACATTATATTACTGTTAAAAATTACCTCGGCATGTTTTATATGATAGATTAGTTTCTTATTTTAAAAAGAGTAAAACAAAACTCTAGACAATTTTCATTCAATACCAGATAAAATTTTCTTTCCATTCTTCTGCCCAATAAAACTTCCCCCAATTAAACTGATCAGAAACTTGACCCCCAGGGCATTGTGGGTTGATGTCTTCCTTGCAAGTTTTACATGAATATATAGGGGTATCATCTGTAGCGAAAACCCTGGCTGAACTAAACAAAGAACACATATATTAGTAAGATGATTCGATGTGAGAATAATCCGTGAATTAAATTTATTGTAGTCTATACTATCAGCTTAAGGTTAGAAAAAGTACGTGTGTATAATAAAAGTATTTCATCTAAAACTTTAAAATCTTCTTCTCATACGATCCTATGGTTCAGTGGAAAGTTAATTAACTAAAACACTGATACGCTGACAAAGTTGGGTCTTTGGGCAAATTCTGACGATTTGAGCTATGAAAGTTGAATTTGGCCTGAAGGTAATTCCATCCTCCAATATCATGTCAAAGGGTTTTGCAAAAACTGTCATTAATTTAAATTCATACCACTTAAAACAAAGTTTGTTGAAAGAATGCTTTCAATAGGTGTAATGATAAATATTGTTCAGCAAAAGCACTTTAAAAATGTATATTTTCATTATTAGATCAATATATTCAATCTTTAAAAAAATGTGAAAAGGGTAGTTACTCCTTCTCAGATATTTTCATTATGACATTTTCCTTATTATATTTTTAATGTAAAATAGATTCTTAGGTATTCGCATTTCAAAATTTTCTTATACATGTAAGTGGGGCCAAGTATTTTGGAGCTCTTAGTATCAGAATATATGCATTTGAACCAGTTTTTACAGAATACTGGGCCAGGTAATATTTTCAAAAAATAGACGATTTTTTCATGTTAACATACACGTTTGTTCATCTATGTCTCCCGTCTTAAATAATATGGTGATCTATAATTTTTTTTGCGATAATTGGTAATTTTAACTATAATAAATGAAAATAAATGCAGTTCTTGTACTTTGAACCATTGAAATTGTGAGGGTGAAAAAACCTTAAGAAAGAAATCGGTAAAAGTAAAAAAGTAAGATCAACTTTTTATGATCCAAACCTGGGCAAGAGAAACTTGAAGAAAGCAACAAAAATGAGTGTCTTTTTGCACAACTATGCGTGCAATAACCACTATTATTATATAGCTGATAAATAGTCTCTAATAAAATACTACCAAAAATTTAGAGAATTTTAGTGTTCAATATCTTGACGTTTTATTGAACGCTGACTTTGTACTACGTGCTGGGGGGGAATACACCGAAACATTCCGAATACGAGCGTTCAATATCGAACGCCGCGTTGTAAACAAAATAAGTCGTCTGGTCAAATTCTCAGAGCTAAATAATTTTTAATGAAATGAAGTGTCATTTAGGTAAGATGTATTTATTTTTCACACAAATTGAAATTTTTATTAAAGATTTGTACGTATTAGAACATTGTAAACATTCTAAATCATAATCGACTTGGTTAAGGCTTTCTGATTACAGGACAGACGTAAATTTGAATATCGGTATTAAAAAAAAATTTGTCTCTGTTTTTAATTGAAATAATTATTACAAATTATGACCCAACCTGTTTACACATAATAAAGGAGTTAGAACTTACAGTCCCATCGGACTGCTTTGGCTGTTCAAATGCAGTCGCAAGCTCGTGCATTTGAACAGCCAACTTGTGCCGCTCGAGTAATGAACCTTTAGACAATTCAGACAGCGGAACCAATTTTATGACATTAGAGAATTTTTCCTTAAATCTAAATATTGTTATGGAGCCGATGTGTTGAATAATTTTAACGTGAAAAGTAGAAAACACTTGCTGCGGCCTTTTTTAGATGTATTGACAAAAATAACTAATTCATTTTGTTATTTCCATTCTAATGTCGACACGACATATCCCAAGGCAAACTGCATGCAATAAAAGATACCAAATAGTGCAGTTGTTTGACACATCTGTTTTAAATTTTATATCTGAAATTAAACCAGTAAAAGACGTTTATCGATATCTAGCAACATTGCTGCATGGGTATATATAGTATTGTGGTGACGTCAGAGGGTTTTTAGAGATCCTGTAAGTGACGTCAGAGGGTCCTCAGAGATCCGAAAATGATGTATTTCTAGGCTCGGGATAAAGCCAATATCAAATTACATAATTATGGGGTGTGATATGTTGCTAAGAAACTTGTTCGTGTGGAATAACAAAGAAAAGGGGTACTTCCCCTGCAAAGGATGGGCAGTACGGGAAGTGGGGGATAGGAACCTGCCGAGTCATGATGATATGCAAGTTTGCATTAAAGAATGCCAAAAGAACCTGAGTATAATAAAAACAAAAGATTTTTATTAAAGATCGTTCGTACAATAAACCTGCAATACACGACGTCGCTTTTCATTCATTACTACCTTATGTAAATCAGCAGTTGTAGGTCTACAGCATATTCGCACAAAACTTTACTCTGTCCTTTTGAAACTTTAATAGTCTTCTTGAAAAGGCCAAAGAATGTCCAATTTTTGATTCCTCGTCACCAGAATAAAGGCTCGGATCTGTGATTATGGATATTGCATATCATAGACTTTTAGAAAGCACGTTTTACGGAAGAAAATGCAGCTAAAACAATCCGTCTTTTCCTTAAACTTCAATATGCCAATAAGGGAATTGACGTAGTTAATATGAGTAATATTCTTAATCACAAAAGGGTCCAGTCTTGTATTCCACCATATTTTAAGTTAAAGACTGCACGCCTTGTATTTCCTACAAATCCACATCGACCATTGCTTCCAAACTTTACAAAAAAAAACTTTACATGGCCTGGATTCTGAGTATCTGAAACATAGTCATCCATCATGTTCAATAATTTTCGCCCTATAACTATAGTCCTGCTGGACACGTTATTAGAGGTGACGTAAATATAGTTAATAATGAGGACCTTAGATCACTTATTTTAGAAGTTCCTAAATATAGAGAACCCCGATCTTTCAACTTGAGTCAGAATTTCATAAGTATTATGGATTCCGTTGAAAATTACATCCAGACGATGGGCCAGATATGAAAAAGAAGACGTTGACACCTAGTCAGAATGGATTGAATTTTTAATTAGATCAATGTTAAAGTCGCGTATTGAAAGAATTAGATTGATTACATGATCAGTACGTACCGTTCCCTGCCGACAAAGCAGGTAACAACATTGTCTTCGTTTGTAAGGCTCATTATATAAATTGTGTTTTAGAAGAACTTGGATTTAACTCTACCGGTGGTAATCCTACTTATACTCATACTTCCCTTTCTAAGGAAGAAATTCTTCAAAATCAAATGTCAGTTTTAAATATTTTGAATATTCCATAGATCCAAAAGGAATTTGAACTACCATATCTATATATATTGGATTCCGAAATTTCATAAAAATCCTTACAAACAAAGATACATTGCGGGTTCCAGTAAATGTTCAACCAAGCCTCTTTCGTTACTCTTCACGAAGATATTGACAGTAGTGAAGGAAAAACTTCAGGAGTACTGTGCAACAATATAATCAAGAAGTGGTGTGAATCAAATGTGAATACTCAAAAATTCCAAAGAACTTTTGGATAATTTGAAATCACAAGATTTTACCAAAATCAACAGCTTAAAAACTTACGACTTTTCAACTTTATATACAACCATTCCCCACGATAAATTAAAATCCATGCTTTTTTGATATCATTGACAGCTGCTTCTTTAATAAAAATGGAACTCGTAAATTTACTTTAACCTGATCATTGGTCATTTGCAAATTGTTTTGTTAAAAAGATTCTGATTACACACACAAGTACTCTGAAGTTGACATCAAAAAGATGCTTGAGTTTCTGATTGACAATATCTACGTGGTTTTTGGAGACCAGGTATTCCAACAATCTATTGGAATTCCCATGGGTACCAATTGCGCTCCGTTATTAGCGGACCTATTTTTATATTCATATGTAGCAGAATTGTGCAAAATCTTATGTGTGGAAAGAAGAAAACACTTGACGTGGCCTTCAACCCGACATTTAGATATATCGACGACGAATTGTCAATTAACAGCGGTAATTTCCATTCTTGTCGATACGATATATCCTGGTGAGCTTGAGATAAAAGATTCCACAGAGTCTGACACATCTGTTTATTATTTGGATATTTTACTTGAAAAAGACGTTAATGGTTATCCAACAACCAAGCTCTATGATAAAAGTGATGACATTACCTTTTCTATCCTCAACTCCCTTACTTATGCAGCAATATACCTTCATCACCTGCGTGTACGGAATGTAGTATATATCTCAGCTTGATTCGATAAGCAAGAGCTTGTTCTACGAATGAACAATTTCTAAAACGAGGTAAATTATTGACATGTAAGCTGATGAAACAAGAATATCCTGTTTAAAGTCATCATTTCGTAAGTTCAATGGTCGATACAATGACCTTGTAGAGGATACCAATTTATCATTGGAAAAGCTTTCCGACGCGGGGATTTCCTACTTGTTAACGCTTTATTTGTCCTGAATAACATATCATACTGATACGAAAGTAGCACATGGCGGATGTGAGGATAACCAGGGGATGCTCAGCTTCCATGGCAGGGATCCCACTTCTGATGTTTCTAAGGCCGTGGATTAGTCCATTTTGTATTAATTTCTAGGATTAAATTATTCACATTTTACTATTTAATTTTTATATAGGCGAAAAATCAAAAGAGGTATAACAAAAATATCTGAAGTACTTGGTTCCGTAGATATTTATATAGATGGAGACATAAAAAGGTTCCGGATAGGAAGAGTGAGCACACAAGTAAGTTCCCGAATCGTCAACTTCTGCTGATGACTTCATTAAAGTTGTGGATGTGTCTGTTGTAGTTATATTGAATCCAGAATCTACAAAACATCAAATTGCCTTGCAGAAAGTATAATATCAATTATATTATATATTATCAATAACTAAAATAACATGTTGAAAAAAAAAAGTAAAACATTTCTCTATTTTTGTATATTTAAAACAACTTAATAATTGCCAAATTAGGAAAAAGGTCATTTTTATTTTATTTTTAAAAAGACAAAATTGATACCTGGTGATATTTTTTTGCCGTCTTTCTCCCAGAATAAACCCCCGCCAGACAAATTAAATAAGGATTCAGGATTGGTAACAACGCATGAAAGGTTTATCGATTTCTTGCTTTCAACTGAAATATTATTTGGAGGCATCACCTGCAGCACAAGCCTTGGAAGTACTTTACAAAAGAAAAAATCGTAAAGAATATTTTTTTTAACCAATCAATAAATATGGGACTAAATTTATCATAGCAAAGAAGATTATTGTATCTAATGCACTTATATAATTTATATTTCTTATTTACCGAGATATCATGAAAAGGAAAAATATTTCTTATACAAGGATTCTTTTTTATTTTTAATTCTTTTTCACATACCTACCAACCCCTTAACCCAACCGACCCCATCCACCATGTAAAAAATTGTCTGCAAATATTGTATTCTTATACATGTATCTGAGCATAACTGATTATTGTTCCAAGAGAGGGAAAAACCAGCAATGGTTTTCGTTTTTCAAAAGGGTAAGAAATTAAACATTTGACTTAGAAATGACAAACGCATTCTTCTTATTCTTTTTCCTCACCTCGTAAGAAAACACTCATACTTTCTGTTGTTTTACCATTTGATGCCGTGATATTCCAGTCTCCTAAATAAGTAATAAACATTTATATTAAAAATCAACATTATAATTCCGAAAAGTTAAATACGAGGGGTGTTCAATAAATAATGTACTGAACTGTATGACATAAAATACAGACATCATATGACATTAAGGTTGACTTTTTCGCATTATTGAACTTTAATGAATTTATAACAGCTTATGTGTCCACTTTTCATCACATAGTTTCATTGTGAGAAGCTGGAAAACAAGAGCTATTCGAGACACTGTATTAAAAATGAATGGTAAAGAATCAGTATACTAGAGTGAAATTAAACGCTTCATTAATGGTGCTGTAAATACTCGTAAAGAATCCCAAAGATATATTCATTGAAATATGTAACATCTACGGCAACCAATGTCTGTTTTATGGACAAATGAGCAGGTGGATTTCAATGATATATAATTAAATATTGGGCATCAAAAATGGGTACCGTCCTTGCCAACAAAAAATATAACAACTTATGTACTGTTTGACAAATTTCAACAAATAATTACTAATGTTGTATAATTGACTTTAAGACACACAAAAATTTGTCAAATTTGATAGACATCATTTCGGGAGTAGTTCACACAGTTTTAAAGATACGTTTGACAGTAAAAAAACTTAGTTCTCAAAAGTTACCCTATGCTTTGATAAATTTGTGTAAACGACAGCGTGTAAGAATATCTAAACAACTATTTTAAAATATCAGTAATTGAAGTTTTCCGCATTTATTTGAAATTCAAACAGATAATGAAACTTGAATCAATTGCTTAAAACTCTGGAAATAAAAATTACAATAAGAAGAACTTAACAAAAACGGCAAAGGTCTGAAAAGAGCAAAGAATTGCAAGAGCACAAAGACAGATTTATATGCAATTTTCTTAAATATAAGTGGTCTTGTTGTTCAATTTCTTATTCGGGGCGGCAGTTTAATTTCTGGAAGAGTAAAGCAAATTTTTTGCTAAAAAATCGAAAGGTTAATAAAGAGGAAAGAACCAGAATGGAATCCACTACATTAAATTTCTTCCTTTTTTGTGTGAGCGTCCAAATCCGCACGCCATGAAGAGTAAAGGATCTTTAGGCATTATTAATTTTTTTTTACATTAACAATATTAGCCAGATCTTCGCCTTTTGACTTATTTCATTTTCCAAACTTGAAAAAATACCTTACAGAAGAAGAAAACGAGTCCAGGAAACCATAACATCTGCCATTTCTTAGTATACTAAGGGTCATACACAAAAATGAGTTCTAAAAACAATCAGAAATTGGGGAAAAAAATTTACGGACATGTGTTCTAGTTAAAAGAGGATATTAAGTTAAATCATTAAGACTAAATCATTGAAAAGCGTCTTTTGCTTCTTTTCGAGCACCGAGGACATTATTTATTGAACAGCCCTAAAGACAAAATGTTCCCAGAAAAATTTTAGAACCCATCATCCTGTTGTAGAACATTTGGTATGTTGAGCACATTGCGTAATGTACCATTTCCGGTTGAATATGATGTTATTTTATATCTCAATGAAGAGTTGGTTATCAAGTTCCCATTGTGAAACCACTGGACACTAAGGTCGCTTATGTCATATATCTCTGTTTCAAGCCAAACTGATTTCCCCTCTCGTGATATTGAATCACTAATTCTGAAGAATAGTATCTCCACAGATTCTGTAAATTTAAAAAAAAAGTTTAGGATTCCTTCTTTTCAATTTTAAAATATCCTAAAATTAAACAGAGACAGATCCGTGCCTTTTCATACAATCCAAATGCTGTTTCTTGTAATCTTATTCTTGTTATATATTGTAAAAAATAAAATTGTTTTTTTTTTTTTATTTTTACATTTGCAAATGTTTTCCCTTATATAAACTATTTAAACAAGGCGTTTTTACATCTATATATGTACCAAAAATCGATTGTTTGTCATAATCGATCTACGTAGTTTGATAGTGACGTCATAAGCGATCGACGTTATAAACACATTCAATTTATACCGTTGAATTTTGAAAAAGAAAACGTTATGGTTTTCAAACTTAATTTGTTAAGTACGTTACTATTTGTAATAAATCACTCACAAATGCAAATATAAGAAATAAGGTATCATTTTTTGAGTTTTATTGGGATGTAAAACGGGTTGGCACATAATCAAATCTTCCATAAAGCCCGAAACGGGTTGGCACATAATCTTCCATAAAGCCCGAAGGGTTTTATGGAAGTTTGATTATGTGCCAACCCGTTTTACATCCGAATAGTGAAAAAATGATACCTTATTTCTTAAATAAAGACATATTTTCTTATCGACAAATAGAAATGAAATTCAAGATTTACTATTGTAAAGATTAAATCTGTCTACGTCATTATGACAAAAAGAATATTTTTTGAATAAATAGTATTTCATAATTTAATTAAATGAATAACAAACCTGGTCCTGTGATGTTTACGTGAATGGAAACATTTAATGGGTCAGGGTAGGTGGAATGTAAACAAAAATAATTTCCAGAATCACTGATCTCTGCTGAGGCTTTATTTAAAATTGTCGAAGTTTGTGTTGTATTAATGGTGAATATAGAACCTAAACATTTTAGGTAATATAAAAAAGCAATATTGCAATGATGTAAAATCTCATATTAGGAAAAGATATATCAATTTGAAAATGTCCATGCACACTATAAGAAAATAAGGACAAATGAGAAAAAAAGATCCTTGATCTTTTTTAGAGTTGCATCTATTTATATATTTGTCATGTTTAATCTTTTTTTAAAAATTGGTAAAAATAACCTGTCAATAAAGGCTTCCCATCTTTTACCCAGATAAGACTTCCACTTGTCAAATTAATCAGGGATCCAGGGTTCACCACAACACATTGAAGGGTGAAATTTTCTTTGGTTTCAATTGAGAGATCATATTGTGGTATCATCAGCAGCACCAGTTTTGGTAGCACTAAACAAAAAATAAACTTGTAAAATTCATTAAATGTTGAGGTTAGGTGATAAATATGACGTTAATGAACAGTTATCATGTTCAAAAGACAGTTAATCAGCATATCAAAGAGGCAACTGAAAACATCAGAAGAGGGATAGGATGCAATGGAGGAGTAACCATTCCCTGTCACATTTGCATCTGTCCTTTGTCATGTCCGGGTAAAAAGTGATAATAGATCACGGAAAACAAAAACAATAGAGAAAGTGAACTTCATAGAATCAAAAATGTATTGAATTAAAAGGGATACAATTCCACCTTGTTGAATTTATTTGTCAAAAAACAGAAAATGGAAGCAGTATATGGCAACAAAAAAAGATAAATTTAACTTAATTTTCTTTATAAAAGTCAAAATTTCTTTCGAAATTGTTTTTCATATTGAAAGAAAATATGGCTTTGACAAAATATCCTTTCCTTTCTTTATTCTCACCTCGTATGATGATACCCTTGTTCACCACTGTCACCCCGTTGGAAGCCATTATACTCCAATTTCCTTTAAAAAAATCAATACATTCGAACTTCAATTTTTACATAAAGTTCTAAAACAGATTTTCTTCTTTCCTTTTCTCTCAAAACGAAAAACTGAATTATTGTAACTATACCTTCATCCCTTTCATAAACACTTGATATCCTTAGCTGATGTAGAAATGTACCATTGGCCTTTGCAGAAGAAGTGATGAGTATTCCTGACAAAATACCACTTTATTATAACTCCATCGCGAGACCATTGGACAGTAAAGTTTGAGTTATCTGCTATCTCCGATTCAAACAATACTTCATTTTCTTCACGGAATACTGACTTGCTACTTCTGAAGTACAGAATTTCTAAAGATTCTGTGAATGAAAAAGAATTATTCGTTAGAGATAACCGCGCGCTTCTTGTCATGATCGGAAACTAATGAAAGAACTTTTGCAAAATGTTAAATAAAAAGACCATATTGGCTAAAGTTACCGTTGAGGCCTATGGGTCTCTAATTTTGTAAATGTGTACTCTAGGAACACAAGTTAATAAATTTACTCCAGGAGTTTTCAACTTTTCAAGTTAAGAAATATACTCCGGGTAGTGTTCTTATTATACATATACTTCTGGATATGAATTGCTCTACATTTTGCAACGTCATGCTACACACCTGGAAATATGTTTCAATTGTTTTTCACCGATGTAAAAACATTTTTTTTAACTGTCCCAGTAGCCTATAGCTAGTAGTATCGAAATCCCTTTGTGGATTTCTTTCCCAAAGTCCACGGCACAAGAAATGCTTACGCGCGTCTATTGGACATAAAAACTATTCTACCGCAAAGATAATTACTTGTTATATGGATAATATCATTTGTTAAAAAAAATCATCGTAATTAATTCAAGACTCAAAACGAATCTTTAACGCCAGGTTAGCAAATTTGTAGTAAGCTGACATGTATTCTTAAAAACGCAACATTTTCATCTACGTACGACTTGTTTCATACCAATTATAGCCGTATTCCGCCATATTTCTTTCAGATACCTTGTCTCATTGTAACGATGTATACCCCAATGCGCTCGTTACACTTGAATGATTTTTTGGATTGGGTATCGACTTGTGCACATCTCCGATGGTAAAGCATATGAGAACACATGAGGTGATCAAGACATTTCAAAAACAAAATAAACAACTTAATAATTATATTTTTGAATGATTATTGATTTGAATCAAAAGAAAAAAATGCAAGTTTGGAAGAGAAATTTAGATGCATGAGTACGTATTTTTACAGTGCGCCAATTTATGCAGAATAAACTTGAAATAAAAAGCAGTAAAATTTGCAAACACATTTTGAAATTATATCATTTGAATGGAACAAAACACCCAACGTCTTTGATTTGCAGGTCCTATGCAATTGATGCATATCGAGAAAACGCCTCGAACGCTGTAAACGTACCCATACCTGGTAATAAGGCTACTGCATCGGTTCGAAGATGTGCACAAGTCAAGTGATATACACCCTGAATTCCATTTATTGAAATATGCATCACAAAAAAGAAATAAACTCCATAAAAGCTCAATAGTAAACACACTGTCATTACTCCGTACACACTAGCACGACGATACACTTAGTCCGTGCTGATCAGATTTTGGTCAGGGAAAATATCAAAAGTGGAAAGAGAAGTTATTTGGTATTTGCGCGGCTGAAAGGGGGGGGGGGATATTATAACTGATGTTCATAAGCTATAATTGTGAATTGTTTATCTACATGTAGTTCTAATATACATTCTATACAAAGTAATGTATATAGTCTGCAGTTGGTTTGCGTCGCAAAATTCATTTGTCCATTATAACTGATTATTTTAGTACTAATCTCAAATCTAAACAAAGTAATTTGATGTACGGCTATAATTTACTTCAAATCTTAAAAGCTATTAACCAGAATACAAATTTTTATGTGTACATCTATACATTCTTTAACACATACACACACACACGGAGAAAGGCCATCCCCTGTTCAGATTGACATTTAGGCATTTGATTTTTTGGACCGGGGGGGGGGGGGGGGCGGGGGCAAACAGAAATAATTGACATGACCGTTATTTAAATATTCTTGGAAGACAGACATTTCTGCCGAATTCAGTTTTGAGATTTTTTTAAAATGTGTCACTCCGACCACAAAGTATGTGCATTTTGAGGAATGTAACTGTTTTATAATTATGTTGTTACAGGAAGTATTTCGAGATTTCAGTATCCCTGCCTGATAGTCTAAGTATTTTTTTATGCGCCCGGATCGATAGATCCGGGGCGTATATTGTTTTTGTCCTGTCTGTCTGTCTGTCTGTCTGTTTGTCTGTTTGTCTGTTTGTCTTCAAACTTTAACCTTCGCCATAACTTTTGAACCATGAGAGATAGAGACTTCATATTAGGTATGCATACTCCACTAAAGAAGCTCTTTCAAATGACACCAAGATCAATAACCTTGTGACCTTGGCTGTGACCTATATGCTAAAAATAGCTTTTTTCGAACTTTCGCAATAACTTTTGAACCATGAGAGATAGAGAGCTTCATATTTAGTGTGCATACTCCACTAATTAAGCTCTTTCAAGTGACACCAAGGTCAATGACCTTGTGACCTTGATTGCGACCTATATGCTAAAAATGCTAAAAATAGCTTCTTTTTTTTAACTTTCACCAAAACTTTTGAATCATAGGAGATAGAGACTTTATATTTGGTTTGAATACTCCACTAATTAAGCTCTTTCAAGTGACACCAAGGTCAACGACCTTGTGACCTTCATTGTGTCCTATATGCTAAAAATAGCTTTTTTGAACTTTAACCATAACTTTTGAACCATGAGAGATACAGACTTCATATTTGGCATACAAACTTAACTAATCAAGGTCTATCAAATGAAACCAAGGTCAATGACCTTGAGACATTGACTGTGACCTATATGCTAATAATAGCGTTTTTCTAACTTTGCTGCCGCCGGGCGCATAGTGTTTCACAAACACATCTTGTTTTATATATATAAATAATTTCTGTAGGTGAATTTGGGAGATAATTTTAAAAGTTAGGGTAGGGATACTTGACACTGGTTGAATACGGATAATTATTATTTATTCTTTTGTATATTGAACGCTTTCTCTCTCTCTTTCTGTAACCACCCGTTGGGGCTAGGATAGGTATAAAATCCTACGCACTTTGTGCTGTACCATTTATTATGCCTTAGGGCAGATCAAGGATTTTTTTCAGGCGGGATGTCGAAACTTCATAAATTGAATAATAATTTTACTTTGGACAGGAAATTAACACAAACGCCCAAATTGAAAGAGAAACTAGACGTACATGTATTATGAGCAATGAACTCACTATATGATACCCCCTGCCTCCCATATGTTTATAATGGCAAAGTCCATATTTCGCTAAACCCATACGTGTCAGATCAAAAAGTAAAATAGAAGGTGCATAATGGTACATGTAATATGTAATAAACTTAAGATTCTTTGAAAGTTTCATTAAATTTCTCTAAGTGGTGTAAGAGGATTTGCGGATAAGAGATGGGTACCCCAAAGCGTAACAGACAGACGAACGGACATAACGATTACCTCCCACTTTTCAGGCGGGGGATATGATAAACGTGAAATATAAATCACAGGAATGGAAACATTGAGAACTTTCTCGAATACCTTCTCAAACCTATGTGTCGAACTTGGACAACAGACAAGAGAACTTTTAAAAAGCTAGTTTTAGGTAGAATGTGGAACTCTCACGAGGAGTTTACTCTCTCTTCCTACATGTATATGCTTTTTCTAATAATCATTAATTTTTTATGCCTAGAAATTTAATTCACATTAAATTCTATTTTCATTATCATTGTACCAAAGAATCAAACTCGTTTATTATACCCCACGCGTGAGGTATAATGTTTTTGACCCGTCAGTCAGTCTTTTTTTTTTTTTTTTTTTTTTTGGTCATCGCAACTTCTCATAAACCACTGTACAGAGTTTTGTCGAACTTTGCAGATATTTATAGGAGACAATGTGTGTGTAGATTTGCATGTCACCAGGAAATTCCGAATTCTTTATTTTTCGGGAATTTCCGCACTTTTACATTTAAATTTTGGCCATATCTTGAATATAGAGGTGAGCAGTTTGTCAGCGCAACTCTTCATAAACCGCTGCACACATTTTCGTCAAACTTTGCAGATATTTAGGACACAATGTGTATAGATAAGCATATTACAAGGAAATTACGATTCCTTTATTTTTTTCTGGGAACTTCAGCACTTCGACTTTTGGGGGAGCGTGGGGTATGTGAACGTGCTCACTTTTTCTTTCATAGTGCATAAAATTATAAATAACTTTAAATCAAATTATATTAGGTCTAATAAAGCCAATACACAGTATTTATTTGATAATAATTGATCATAAAGAAATCCAATCTGTTTCAGACGTTTTTCTGACATTATTTTTATGAGAGTGTTATGCATGTTTTATTACACCCCCCCCCCCCTCATATCACGGGAAAATATCTTCAAAAGGTGAATGATTCGTAATAATGCCTGCTTTTTATGAATTTGATGAAGTTAAACCATGTACTTAATCGTAAATTTTATTTACAACATGTCAAGACAAGAGTAATGTTTATTTTTGAAAAAATTACTTGCATTTTTTTCAGTCAACCCAACTGAGCTTTCAACCTTTGATATTTTCCCTTACCAAATAAAATGATCGGCATGGGCCACGTGTGTCCAAGCATCTTTTACTGTTGAGTTAGCAATGGATTACATGAATTCTGAGATGCATTTTTCAATAAAAGTAAAATAGGATAATTCTTTCGACATGTGCACATCTCTGAAACGATAGCAGTAGTCAGGTAAATGTTTTTATCACTGCGTTTGACGCGTTTTCTCGACCTGAATGGGTGTTTGATGTACATGTATGTATTCCGTGTTAGTTTGTTTTCTATATTGCAGCAAATGCATTCAAAAATAATTTAATTCTCGGTATAGTTCTATTTTTTGTTGAATTTTTACTTTTCAAACATGTATTTGGTCAGTTTATGGACTTCTAAAAACTTTGTTATCGGAGATGTGTACATGTCGACAGTCAGGCTAGAAAATCACTCAAGTGAAGCAATCGTACAAGGCTATATATAGCAGGTACAGGTGACCAAAATTTTCAATTAAATATGGCGGAATCGAAGAAATATGGCGGACAAAGGCGTACAGG